ATGGCGCCGATGATTAAATTACATTTGACTATCTATAAGTTACATGCTCAGAATTTTTAAAAATAAATAAATACAATTCGCACTATGTGTGCGTGTGACTGCCTACCGCAGAGTGATACACTACAAGAGTTGGCACAGAAAACGGTTTGGGGGTTTTATTTATTTATTTATCTATCTATCTTTAACTGACTCAATTCAAATCCGCTTAATAGCACTTGCGAAATTTCGGCGCACATCAAGAATCCATGTTTTTTTTCTCCTCAAAGTCGTTTACGCTATAATCGATACGTAAATAGAAAACTTTCAACAGAGAGAACTACTAATCTGCTTGACAATATCGATCTGTTATTGCACTCGTTGGCCGATGCATCTCACCCAATTTGCAGAGAAATATTCGGTGACTATTAAGTGTAACGTTATCTTTGCGCACTTCCGACCAGAATATGAGACGAAATCTCTCACCCATAACATTATTATTTATTCAACTCCGGACTTGTTCCTCTATTTCTTCGAACGTGGATTCTACATTCCCGGGAAGATTTAAGAGACTCTCTTCCCTCTTCACTATCAGATAGGTGCTGATATACCTACCTGCCATCCGATTTGTCCCAAGTGTACGCATTCCATGCGCAGCTGGCTCCCTCATATGCTTACATGTCGTGGGCAGCCTAACGAAATAAACAGATATAGATTTGAAGAAGTCCTAACGATTAGATAGATGTGCCCGCTTTATCAAGATGGCCAACCGTAAAAGCACACTTCGGCTATAGGAGAGGTTTCTCTGGTGAAAAACGGAGATACAAGTTCTGGAGGCACATTTTTCTTTAGGGGGACTTCTCGATCTTACTTGCCATAGCTCAAGTTCCATATACTCCCAGCTATCAGAAAGCTAGGCACTGCAGCTTTGGTTTCCATAGCAACTAGTACGTTTTCACGAAATGGAGTTACTAGCCTCATGACCAACCGGTTTTGAATCATGACTTGTTCTTCTTGTGGATTGGTTACCATATAAGACTAAACAACACAGTCTCCACTACGAATGGAATACGAACTCGGCTCTACGATTTCTCATTCCGAGTCGCTACACCACCCGAACATTCACCTCTGTCTCGACTGGTTGATATTAATTTCACTGTTTAAGAATATATATATATATATATATATATATATATATATATATATATATATATATATATATATATATTTAAAAAAAAACAGAGCACTTTAAGGTACCATTATAATAATTTATTTCACCAGAGCCCTTTTAAAGGACGCCGGATCATCAGATCGCATGTACAAAAAATGAAATGAAACGAAAAATGAAATTAAAATTGATGGGTAGTGTAAGTTTTTGTAATTTAACAGAGGGTGTAAAAGGAGTAGTTAAAGAGACATGGTAGAGTATAGGGAGGGATTAATTTCATATCTCTCTCAAGTATACTTTGTATTGGGGGAGGAGGAGTGACCAGACCTTGACCTATTTAGACGGTTAACTTAACGGAAGTAATATATTGAAATGGGAGGGGAGTAGGGAGAAAAGAAAGAGGAAAAAGAAAGAAGAGGGAGAGGGAAGTAAAGGGAAAGAGGCTGTAATTGGGTTTTAGCAATTCATGTAAAGAATAGATTTTAATGCTTGATAGAAAATTAGATGTCTAATATATATATATATATATATATATATATATATATATATATATATATATAGAGAGAGAGAGAGAGAGAGAGAAATAAACTAAAATTAGAACACACTCATTTCCAATTTTTTTAACAGGATTAAAGGTTTATCACTTGTTTCCTATTTAGGATTGGGTTTCCGGTTCCTTCTAAAAAAACAAACCTTTATCTTTCACTTATAGTGGTCTCTTGGTGACCTACCGGCCTTCGTACTCAATTTAAAATTTAGAAAAGGGCACATCTTCCGTATTAAATTTTCTCGAGTGCGCAAAACGGTATACGAAATTGTTGTGGACCCGGAAGAAGTCCGAAAGAAAACTCCAACTCAGCAATTCAGTGAAAACGTATTATTGACAAAAAGAACGAATACAGAAGTGTTGCACGTCCGTCTGACGGCGAAGTACAGTAGTCAACTCGTCCACTGTCTACAGTCCTCTTGCGAGGTATAATATAGTCATAAGACGAGTCTATTTTGTCCATTAAGGTAGGTCCCCATAACAGAAATAAGCACTGCTTAAACACGGATCATATATATATATATATATATATATATATATATATATGCACACACAAACATGTATATATTTTATATATATATATACAGAGAGAGACGACGTTAGACAGAAATGAAATGTCTCAGATAGATAGATAGATAGATAGATATACGAAATAAACACTGCTTAAAGACGGATCATACACACACAGATACACACACACACACACACACACACACACACACACACACACACACACACACATATATATATATATATATATATATAGAGAGAGAGAGAGAGAACAGGAGTGAGAGAGAAATGAAATGTCTCTAATAGATAATGAACAGATTGATAGATAATGAAGTGACTGGAATAGATAGATAGATAGATAGATAGATAGATAGATAGATAGATAGATAGATAGATAGATAGATGAATGAAACATATGACATAAAATGAATAGATATATATAAAGAATGAGATAGATAGATAGATAGATAGATAGATAGATAGATAGATGAATGAATGAAACAGATGACATAAAATGAATAGACATATACAAAGAATGAGATAGATAGATAGATAGATAGATAGATAGATAGATAGATAGATAGATAGATAGATGATTGTGTGCTATAATTGATCACCGTTATTTTTAAATTAGAGATCAACAGAGTCAGTCAGGAAGCAAAAAATACGCGAAGACGAGCCGGCCAATTGATATTTCTTTTTGCATAAAACCCATATTGACGTAATGATTGATAAAAAATATAAGAATCTACACTTAGTAACTCAAAGAGAGGGAAAAAAAGACGAAGTTGGACGGCTTGACAAATGAGTAAAAGTAGCAAAAACCAATTCATATTGATTTTTATGAACGGAGATGAAAAAAAAATCTTCCAAGGTTGTTTGTTTCGCTAAAACATCAGACTGGCACCAGAATTTTGATCTCTTCAGAGAAGGGCACCGTTCGATGTTTCTATTTTGGGTCGTTTGATCTTGTTCCTACAGTTCTTCGTTTTGGTGTTCTTCATTGACAACAAACCAAACAGGCGCCTCCTTCGTCACGGGATTCGAATTTACCTGAATTACCCCAACTTAGTTGCGCAGACACCACAATCATTGGAAATGATATTATTACCGTATTTCTCTGCTTGTATTTCTCTCCGATGTACTAGACGTCCAGCCCCACAAAAAATTAAGGAAAAATCCCCGACTTTACCTGCTAAATAGCATATTGCAGCATGAAAACCTGACTAATCAGGGCAAATTCATCACAGACCGAGAAGTAGCAAATTTATGTACTGATCATTGCCTAACTACGGTTATAGTACCAATAAAAACGATCTATTTCTGTTCCCATCATAACAACAAAGTAAAATCTGGTATAATCATTCGGATTCTATTTAAGAGCACTCAGGATTTGCAGCCCTGAATATTTACACGAAGAGGAGAAATACATTGAAAACACTTTCATGCTTCTTGAATACCCTAACTAATGATTGATTGATTTGTCTGTTTAACGGTATATCAACACTTATGGATCATTTAATGTCGAAATTCAATTTCCTTTGGAGCTTGGAAGTAATGAAAATATATGTTATTCTGCTTTCAGAACTGAATACATGGTAGATGATACTCAGCTTTTGTGTATATATATGTTTTTGTGTACATGATTACTAGAGGCGGTTATGTGTGTTTTATGTTTTGGTGAAGTTATATTTCGGAATACGGTTTGATTTTAAAAATTGTAGCGTCTTATATGGATTAATGTCATGAAAGTTATTTCACATTTGTTTGGTAGTATTATAGATAGATTTTGGGGAAATCGCTACAATTTATTAGTATGTTGTATTACTGATTATTTTTTTTTTTATATAAGAATGTATTGCTGGTATTTTTACTATAAAAATGTATTTACATACTTTTATAGTTTGTCACTATTTGCCCAGAAAAAGAAAACAATCTTCCGATCAGAGGTCTTGCTACCGGATGTAGTTTATCGTCATACCAAGGACTGCCTAATTAATCTCTCCCTCTCTATCTCTCTATCTCTCTATCTATCTATCTATATATATATATATATGTGTGTGTGTGTGTGCGCGCAAGCGCATGTGTGCAAGCGCGCGCGTGTGTGTATTCTTACATCTCGCATTTTCTTTGCGTCGTTAACTATTACCGTTTAGTATTTCCCTTTCACTATGCGAAATCACCCTACCCTTTGCACCCCACACTTTGCACCCCACCCCTTGCACCCCACACTTTGCACCCCACACTTTGCACCCCACACTTTGCAGCCTTGATCCCTATCTTATTACGTGCAACGGAGCCTCAATCAGTTATTCTTGTAAATCGATCAAATCAAACTCTCTCTTGATTGGTTTGAGATCCGGGGAACAAGAAAAAGTGGGAGAAAAAAACATTCCTCAACAAACTAGTAACCTTCTACTGTGAGTGAGAAAATGACTGACAATGTGTTTCTTCGATAAACTGGTAATGGCATTAGGTTACCAGTTTGTTACAGAAGTCATCGGTTTGTCGAAGCGTTTTCTCGTTTGCTGAACTGGGATATTTTCTTCTGTTGCAGGGAGATATATATTTATGTGATAGATTCTAGGGGAGATTTTATTGTGATCATAGTGTTTTTTTTCTAACAGGAAATAGTGTAGTGATTCTATAATGTTTTTATGCAATGTTTCAGAGAAAAAGAAGTCAGCTCAAAAGGGAAATGAGACACGTCTTTTCACTGCCTCATCCCGTGGTTAAAAAAAAGAGATCGTCTGTGTCCTTTCCTTTTATACAACACCATTTAATGGATGTTAGAAATTTCTTGGCACACAAGGTTTGGGTGACCTGCAGGTTAATTATAAGTATGGCAGAAAGTGAGTGATCAGTTTCTTATTGTTCTAATGTAATAAACTGATCTCCGGTTTTATTCAAAGACTCCTTCCAAAGAAGATAAAAATAAACCGAGAATCTTTGTTGGTAATCATTATTTGATTAACCCATTTAATATATATATATATATATATATATATATATATTCAGAGAGAGAGAGAGAGAGAAAGAAAGAGAAAGAGAGAGAGCAATGAATAGATTGTAGTTTAAATTACGCTAAAATGAAAATAATATGACATCTCATTTTAACAAACATATTTACCAAAATTACACCATATTTTTAAATACTAAAAAGTGAATTTATTCAATAAAATCGCTGTTGGCTTCAACCACGGCCTCCAAGCGACTTTGGAATCTCCTGCAATTGTTCTAGACACTTTCCTTGTTTAAGTTGGTGAATGCTGCCATAATTCTTGCCTTCAGTTCATCTTTGGTATTACAAGATTTTTTTATTGGTCACTCACTCAACTGTGCCCCACACATAATAACCAAAGTGGTTGCAGTCAGGGGAATTTGGCAGTCAGATATAAGGGGTTGATTTGATCGCAAAAATTATCTAACAGCCATGACTGGGTTCTCATGCTTGTGTGATATGGTGCAGGGTCGTGTTGCCAAGACACAGGGTCTTTTAGCAGCCACCTTCTTGACCCAGGGCAGCACTACCTCCTCAAGGCACTTGATGTAGTCTTCCGTGTTGAGCCTGATGCTCTCACCAACAAATTCGAGAGTTTTTTTTCTTATCAGAACAATCAGAGTAAGTTTTCAGAATTTCAGTAATCACCATTAGACTCATCCAACTCTTTCCGAATCATCTGCACTGTCATACGACCACTCTGAAATGTTCGTTCGCCAATTCAAAATTTCTAGCGCAGTGAAATGCGCCATGTGCAGTCGGCAAATTCAAAAACAAACAAATATAAGCCATTTTGCTTTTAAATATCGCTTTATTGCCTACGCTGTACTTTTTATATATATATCCTCAATGCATAATTGAACAATGATGACAGTAATCTTTGTTCAAATGCTTCATGATCATTAAAAAAAAATAATTTATCAAATTCATCATGGCAATGGTGATGGTAATATTAACCTTTTCGTTAAAGAAAACATTCATCATTCATTGACTGAAAGGCCAGTGCTATTGTCGGTTGAAATTGATAAAATCATTTTAATAAAAGAATTTTTCGGGAAAAAAGGTTTCTCAAGTTCAGTAATTTTAATCACTCTTTCCGGTATTAACGGAAGCTTCCTTCCTTAGTTTGTGTTCGAAGTAGTATGTAATGTCGACATCTCGATTATGTCATTATTTTCTCTCCAGGTTACATGCGACAAAGTCCTCACGAGTTTATGTTATTTGGTCCATAAAACGCGACCGGAAACCCGACTCTCGTATACCCTAAGTTTTTCGAAGAAACATATTGTCAGTCACTGTCTCCCTCACAACAGAAAGTTAGTAGTTCGTCAAAGAAGGGATTTTTCTCCATCTTTTCTGAAAAATGTTACCGTGAATTACAGTGATTTTTTAATTTAATCGCAGTACGAGATTAGCCGCAATTGAAATGGCTAGGTGCAATAAGGATTGGATATCTGAAAATTCAAATAACTGAAGACTATTAGCGATGCAGTTCGACTTGTAAGCGTTATCAACGTTTGAGATTCTCTCGAGAAAGTGAAACATTTCGCCATGATTTTTTCTGTAGTATATAAATGTCAAATAGTCTTTCCTGGCAAAAAAGTGACTGAAGTTAGGTGATGGATGAAGAGTCTAACCCCACAACAGAGAATTATTATTATTATTAATAATAATAATAATAATAATAATAATAATAATGATGAGAAGAAAAAAAGAAAATGTAGAAGAAGACTAAAGTAGCCAAAGCAGAAGATGATGAAGGAAAATAATAATAATAATAATAATAATAATAATAATAATAATAATAATAGAAGAATGGTTTCTTCTCAGAAATCAAATAACAACTTTTTATATATCAACGATGTAAATAACTGAAGCAAGACGCAACAATTTCATCTTATTCTTTTACACTGACTTCTTTACCGACTAAGTATTCATGCCACCAATAAAACAGGAAAACGTTTGTTATCAATCCACCATCTTTAAAGCGTTGATTTTCACGTCAATGTTCGTTTGTGAAGTATCTATACATGTCGTAAGTCACGTAGAGAAATTTGACAAGTCGACGGGCATGAACTCAGAGGGAATAATAATAATAATAATAATAAGAAGAAGAAGAAGAAGAAGAAGAAGAAGAAGAAGAAGGTCCATTCTCTGCAGACAGTAATGCATTTTTAAAGATCTTCAAAAAAAATCAAAATACAAGGATCTTGAAGTGGAAATCTAACAAATGTGGTACATGTGGACATCAGTAAATACAGTTGTAGCTGAAGTTCTCGGTTTGATTGGAAAAGCTTCTGGTAGACTCATTGAAGGGATTCCTGGTGACCCATGTCTTAAAGAAATACAAAAAGATGTACTCACAATTACAGCTCACACGTTACGAAGAGCATTTATCTATGTAAAATGTGTGTGATCTTTGTTTTTTGTTTTTTTGTTTTTTTACAAAAATAAATGATCAGTGGAAAATGTCATGAAGTCATTTCTGACCTTAGGTTTCTGGTTGGGACCCGGAAGGAAATGTGCATGCAGCAAAAATCAAAGGAAATAATAATAATAAAATTAAAAATTGTAAAAATAAATAATAAAAAATATATATAAAAAGAACAGAAAAAAAAAATTAAATCAAAATCAGAGAAAGGAAAATAAACAAAAATAATATATATCGGTAAAGCGAATCGAGTCCATTCATTCCAATATATAAGCTCCTGAAAAATTTATTTCGGTTGAGCTCTCCGGGGGAGGAAGCGTCGGTTTGTAAACAGTGACTATTACGGCTATTATAGCAAGACTCTTTGGTAAAGAGAATCGAGTCCTCTCAGTCACTAAAATTCACCTTCGTCGGCTTAGTGGTAGAATCTCCGACGGCCTAGTGGTAGAATCTCCGACTGACGTCAATTCAGTCGGGTTTCGATCCTAGCTAGAAGCAACCGGACGTCTAGCCACACTGGAGAGCTGTGATACAGCGAAACAGGCTCTCTGTGGAGATATATATATATATATATATATATATATATATATATATATATATATATATATATATATATACACACGCGTCCGCATGCATAAACATATGTCATGCACATGTGGTCTTAGGTCGCTTATTTTTTTTTTTTTTTTGTAAATATACTCACTGAAAATGTCATGATACCATTTTTGACCTTAGGTCACTGGTTGGAATCTGGAAGGAGATGAGTAAACAGAAATCAAAAGAAACAACAACAACAACAACAACAACAACATTTACGAGTACAGCCCACGCCTTACGAATGGCTTTATCTATGTAAAATATGTGTGTGCGTATTTTTTTTTTTTTTTAATTGGTCAGTGGAAAATGTCATGACGTCATTTCTAAGCTTAGGTCTCCGGGCAGCACCCAGAAAGAAATTTGTACACATCAGAAATCAAAGGAAATAATAATAATAATAAAGACTTAAACCTCAGCATTAAACTCTTGTGTTGTTAGCAGTGTTTTGCTTTTCATTTTATTTTAGGATAGCAGTAAAATTCAATTTATTTTGCAAAATTTTGACAATATCTGAAGCAATTGTAATTTTTATTGCAAAAAAAAAAAAAATATGTGATCAAAAATAATTTCCCAACGTTTCCTTCTGAAGAAGTATCTAAATAATTTCCTTCGGAGTCAAGGCGATGTTGTCTCCATAAAAAATACATAAATAAAAAAAATTAATTATACTGTCACTGTGTCGTGTCTGTAAAAAGTAAATAAATAAAAAATAATTATAGTCTCAAAAATAATTATAATAAAATAATTATAACGAATATAATTATTACTCCTTCGATATTATTTGATTTCTAAGAGGAACTCTTTTATTATTATTATTTTTATTTTCTTTGATTTCTGGCGTTTACACATTTCTTTCCGGGTCCCGCCCAGGGACCTAAGGTTAGAAATGGCATCATGACACTTTCCACTGACAAAAAAAAAAATTAAATTACATAGATAAAGCCCTTCGTAAGGTGTGGGCTGTACTTGTCAGAACAATTTTTTGTATCTCCTTGAGGCATGGACTTCCAGGAATCCCTTCAATTAGTCTACTGCAATCTTTTCCAACCAGTCCTAGGGCTCCAACTACAACAGGGATTGTTGATGTTCCCATATGCCACATTTTCGAGATTTCTATTTCAAGGTCCTTGTATTTTGACAGCTTTTTGAATATCTTCAAAGATACATTGCAGTCAGCATTATTATTATTAGTATTATTATTATTATTATTAATAATAATAATAATAATAATAATAATAATTCTCTGATGTTCTTAGGCTCTTCATCTGATACATAACTTCAGTCACTTCTGTGCCAGGAAAGATTATTTGACATTTATATTCTACGGAAAAAACGACATTTTTCACTTTCTCGAGAGAATCATAAAGGTTAATAGGGAACTGCGTCGCTAACAGTCTTGGGTCATTTGAATTTTGAGATATCCAATCCTTATTGCATCTAAAAGTGTAGTCGATTTTCAGTGGTTTAAAAAAACAAAAAAAAAAACAATGAAAACGTACCCCACTTTTCTCCTCTACACACACAAACACGTGACATTCTCACTATCGGACAGGCAGACAACACATGCAGACCGTCAACACGTGTATCAACGAAAATTTCAGCCCTTTTTCTTTTTTCAGCCCATAAGAGTAACATTTATCTCTTAGTACTCAAGAAAAATTCGAGGTAAGAAAACTCCCACACTTGTATTTTCAAACTAAATTATCTGGACACTGATTACACACACACACACACACACACACACACACACACACACACACACATATATATATATATATATATATATATATATATATATATATATATATATATATATATAAAACATACGAGAAAGACTGTATACAATTTACTTATTCTTTATCTTATCATTCTGTCGGATTCCAATCCATATCTGATCTACATTTGATCCCAAACGCACAATTTTACTCAGCATTACCGTCAATCGTTTCTCTAAAACCACATAACCAGATAATAAATAAAACTCGTTTTGTTGTTTCTATATCTTGCTGTTTCGCATTTTATGGGTATTTTTGTATGTATAAATGTTAGGGGTTTTATAATTATTTACTTCCCTACAACCGTCCTAACTCTCTACAAAAATTGAGTTCCCACAAGGCTCAATTTATAATTGTCACTCTTAACATTCACAATATAACTTACTAAGAGTTAATCTGGCAGAAGGCTACAATAGGCAAGTTCAAATGAGGGTTACTTTATGAGAATCACTTCAACGTTAATTGTGTAATTTACAAAGCCTAATTTAGTTGTGGAGGCAATGTGGAGTAATGGATAACGGCTTGGATTGAGGAATCGGAGAGCCGAGTTCGAATTCCAGTCGAATCCCTTACATTCACTTAGGTGCTAATACCCTTGGGAAAGGTGTGAATCCTCTTCTTCTCCTCCCAGTTATGGGTAAATAGCAGGACAGACCGGGTTCTATAGCCTTGGATGGCGACTTGTTTACTGTAGAAAGAAATGGCAACCTACTTCGAGAAAAAATCTGCCGCGTCAGTCATGTACCGAAAGACACATGATCGCCTTAGCGTGTACTACGCATGGCACATAACTGAAACAAGGTTACAATATTGAAATTCCCATGCGAGCCGTCTTATCATAAACCCTTTTAAAGAGAAATCGGAGATCTGAGTTCAAATTACAGCAGGGTTCGTTACATTTCCTTACGTGCAAATACCCTTAGGAAAAGCATGAATCCATATTTCGCCTAGCTATGGGTTAAATAGCAGGACAGACCAGATTCTATGGCTTTGGTTGACAACTAGTCTACCGCAGAATAAAACGGCAACCTACTACAGAAAAATCTGCCTAGTCACTCATGAATCAAGAGGGTCACCATCGGCTTCTAGTGATGCCCACTGCTCCATTCTCTGCTCGTCTACAATTGTTTTGCTGAGTCACCTTTGGATAGACTGACAAATTGCAAGACGAAGGACAATCACGACACTATCTCGTGCCATATGTACTCTGCAGTCACGTCCATCTTTAAAATGATGAAATTTGGAACAATGTTATTTGAATTGAATGTTATTTTTTACGGACAGCAAAATCCGAAAGTGCATTCCAAAAGCTAAGCAAAGTATTAAGAAATAGGAAAATTTACTTAGAAACAAAGAAAAGAGTACTGAACTGTTATGTAATATCAATCCTCCTGTCAGTTAGTATGATATCAGTGTATGCTGAACCATCTCATTACAGATGAAGAAGATGTAACAAAAATATAGTTCTACAGAAGGATACTGAGAATATCATGGAGTGAACATTTGACGAATGATGAAGTTTCAGAGAAATGGAAACGAAAATGACACTTATACTTAACACCAGTAAGAGACAGTTGAAATATATAGCGCACATAATAAGGAAATACACACACACACACACATACACACACACACATACACACACACACATACACACATATATATGTGTGTGTGTGCGTATATATATATATATATATATATATGAGGGGTGTATTTCTCGCCAGAATCCATCTTGCGCGTTTATAAATTGCCCATTCGTCCGGGTATTGGTCTGGTGCTACAGCTATATATCTAGAGATTCTTACCAAAATTCAAAGAAGTGTTTGTAATGTTATCGGTTTTGATCTGGCATCTCGGCTTCAGTCACTTTCCTACTGCAGTAACGTGGCTTCCCTCTGTCTTTTTCTATAAATATTTTCATGACCATTGTTCTAATGAGCTTTCTTCCTTGGTACCTCGAGTGCAAGAATTTAAGCGTACTACTAGACTAGATGTTAGGTCACATCGTTTTCTTGTTGCAATAGGTGCAACTGTAAGATTTTTAACTCGCACTTCCTGGCTGTGGAACGCCCTTCCGGCTTCTTGTTTTCTTGTCACCCACAATCTTCAAAAAGTTATATGCAAAATCAATCGACATTATCTCTCTTTTTGAAACCTGTTCTCTTATGGTCCTTTGTCCTCACTAATGTTTTCTTGTTAAACCTTTGCATCTTAGTGGCTTTAAATGTTGTTCTCTGCGCATAGGCTCCGAGCATCGCATTCAGTCCACGAAGCAAGCCCGGCAATGAAAGTGAAATGGCCAATCGTGAACATTGCTGCCGAAAAGATGTCCCTGGGGACTGCCAGATCTGCTTAAAAGCACGTCCCCGATAACTACTACAACTGTCGCAATTGAAAACCCACACCGCCAATCCCGTCACCTCGGTAAAACTCGACTCACTACAGCGACCGATTATCCAGCCTCGACACTGCCAGGCCCCAGACGCCAACTGTAGCTATTTATAACGTCTCAAGGTCGGCACCACCCAAATACAAGTCTTCATCGTCGCCAACGCCGTCACCTCGTTAAATCCGATTCACTACAGCGACTCCGACTCCGCAAATAAATGACTCAAACTCTGCAAGCATATAACCCAGTCCGCCTACCACCGTCTCGTAGAACACCGGCCAACCAGCTACACCAACCTCGTCACCTCGGCAACACACTGGCGTCACCTCAGCATTCCGAACTCTCTACAGACATTCCTTTTGCAGTCGTCAGCGCGGCCCCGTTTCATAGAATTGGCCTACGTCCTATGCCAATCCCTCGTTACCTCGACAACCAACACATTGTTCATAGAAAAATGCACCTTACCCTAAATCAACCCACCACTGTGACCTCGTCAACCAACACGTGCGAATAACCATATCCGGTGACCTCAGTCAAGCCAACACAAGTAATAGGCCAACTCCTGGCGTTACCCGTACACCTGATCGCCATCCTGACAATCAGCAACAGAAATTGACATTTCACCGATTTTCCGACAACTCTGCAAAACACCCTATATATTAAACAAATATACGTTGTTCAAAAACCTAATCCCCGTTATTCCTTTCCTCTCGCAACCAAATGCTTATTATAACAATGGGAAAAGAAATGAAAAGATGAAGAAAAGAAAGAAAAAAGGAGAGAAAGAAAAAATAAAAATAAACTATGATAGGCAAATAGAAAAGAAGAAACAAACTATGACGTATTTGAACAAATAGATTGGAATAAAGAAAGAAAGAAACAGACAATAAAATAAAAAAACAAACGAAAAAAAACAACCAAACTAATGATATACTTGAACAAAGAAAGAAACGAACAAACTATGGTTTGTTTAACCACTAGATCTGAACAAAGTAAGAAAGAAAACAAGCAAACGAAAAACAAACAACCCAACAAACTAGGATATATTGGAAAGACCTGCAATATATGAAACGATCAGTTTAGCATCGGAGTAAACATATACTGTTTATATTCAATATTTTATTTTTAATTATAAAAGCATAGAAAATCATTCAATGTTTTTTTTTTAATCAACATGTCACATAAATACACACTCCCATCACTCTATGAATCAGAAAGATCATAAATTTAGTCGATTCAGCTTCCTACCAGTCGGAAATGTGAGCCATCATTCTAGATTATTGTTGATCATTCGAAACATTTTTAAATGCACGGCGCCATTTGTCGCCGTCTGTTCTATAGTCTCCAGTGTCAGCTGCGTTCGTCTGCATACTGTTTTGAGTTTGTAATCAGCCGAAATATTTAAAGAGGAAAATAAAATCGAGTCAATAGTCGGAGTCGTGGCAGAAAGATTATGTTGATGGCATGGTGGTTAATATCGCAGGATTCGAGGGGTGAGTAATTCACTAACTCCTCATTATATAATGAATGGAAGATAATCGATTGCGCCAATAGATAGATAGATAGATAGATAGATAGACAGATAGATTCGAACGAAGAAAGAAAAAAGAAACTAATAGATAGATAGATTTGAACGATGAAAGAAAAAGAAATTAGTACATAGATATGAAGAGACTGATATATATATATATATATATATATATATAGAGAGAGAGAGAGAGAGAGGGGGGAGGGGGAGATAGCTAGCTAGCTAGCTAGCTAGATAGATAGATAGATAGATAGATAGATAGATAGATTCGAACGAAGAAAGAAAAAGGAAACTAATAGATAGATAGATAGATAGATAGATAGATAGATAGATAGATAGATTTGAACGATGAAAGAAAAGAAATTAGTACATAGATATGAAGAGACTGAGATAGATAGATAGATAGATAGATAGATAGATAGATAGATAGATAGATAGATAGATTTGGACGATGAAAGAAAAAAAGAAATTAGTACATAGATATGAAAGACTGATATATACATATATATATATATATATATATATATATATATATAGAGAGAGAGAGAGAGGGGGGGGGGGGAGGAGGAGATAGATAGATAGATAGATAGATAGATTCGAACGATGAAAGAAAAAGAAATTAGTACATAGATATGAAGAGACTGAGATAGATAGATAGATAGATAGATAGATAGATAGATAGATAGATTTGAATGATGAATGAAAAAGAAAGAAATTAGTACATAGATAGATATGAAGAGACTGAGATAAATAGAAAGAGAGAGAGAGAGAACTGCACAAAGAAAGAAATAAACTGTCATAGAGAGATTTGAAAGAAGAAAGAAGAAAGAAAGAAACTAATAGATAGATGTGGAGAAAGAAAGAAACGGTCATAGATTTCAATAAATAGATAGACATGAAGCCCCTGAAAAAAAAGACAAAAGACAGAAAGAGAAAAACAGGCCGATATGAATAAATGGAAACAAAGTGGAAAAGAGGAAATGTTTTGAAATGAAAGAGTCAGACGAGCAGACAGTGATTGTATGCTAAGACATTTTTTTAAATTGCAGCTAATGTTTCGATTTTCAGGTGACAATGAGAATTCCAAATAAAAAATCGGCACTCCTAGAATGTGTAGATGAATGAAAAGACTCAATCTCATATCTTCACAGAGTGAAGGAAGGCCATAAATATATAATTTGAAGAACTGTGTAAAATACAATCGAAACAAAGATACTGAAAAAAAAAAACTTCATCTAACAACCGCAGACATTTTCAGACAGTTGCTACTAATGCTACCACCACTACTACGACGACTTTGAAATAATCAAAATAGATTTTGATAAAAAAAAAAGATACAAAAAGAAGATAGTAATCAAAATGTCTCTGGAATAATGAAAATAAATAATCAATTCTAAGACAGAATGGATGTTCGTCAGTAAGGGGAATAACCCAAAATGCAAGCTATGATTTCTTCTTTTTCTATATGTCGTGTCACTTCAGGATATGGGCGATTATGGTCCTCCACAATTGCCTGTCTTTTGCAGCGCTCAATAAATTCTATCTTTTGTTATCTCTCCTAAACCTTGTTCCGCCATTTATTTACTCAAACTGGCTAGATAGGTTATGCGTTGTTTTCCTGTAAATCTCCGTTGTCGCTCATATGTCGGTCCGTTGTATTCTGAGCATCCTTCTGTAGAACAACACGCACTCTCATCCAGGAGGACTGATATTGCATTACATTTCAGTAACATTTCCTCGCTAGGTAGGTTATAAGTTGTTTTCCTCTATTCCTGTTGCCTTTAATCTGTCCTGTGAGTATCAGATTTTCCAAACCCTCTTTCCTCATTATGTGCCCTAGAAATCTTAACGATCTCTACCTTATGTAAAGTATAAGTAATTTTTGTTTCTATGTTCTCTAAAACTTCGTTGTTGCTCACACGTTCGGCCCGTTGTATTTTGTGAGGATCAGATTTGCCAAGCCTTCTTTCCTCATTATGTACCCTAGACATTTTCAACGATCTCTGCCTGATGTTAAGTATAAGTATCTCAGCATCCTTCTGTGGAACAACATATCTGTTACTTCAAGTCTATTCTTTATCTCTGCGATGATTCACCAGCATATACTGCCAGATAGGACGACTGATATTACGTAACCATTCTGCACGCTTTTCTTTGTTTCTAACGATTTTTTTCTTAATACTTTGTTTAGCTTTTTTAAGGTAACTTTTGTTATCACAAGTTCCTGTCCTTTGTAGCTCTTAATAAATTCCGTCATTTTTTTTATCTTTCCTAAACCTTACTCCGTCATACATATACTCAAGCTTACTAGGTAGGTTATACGTTGTTTTTTTTCCTCAATTCTGCTTGTCTTCACTCTGTCCTGTGAGTATCAAATTTTCCAAACCATATTTCATCATTATGTGCCATATAAATTTCAACTGTCTCTTCCGCATGTAAAAATAGAAAATAAAAACAAAAATGGTACATATACTTAATAAGTACCCTTTTTATTACTATGTTCTCAAGAACTTCGTCGTTGTTCACATGTTCGGTCCGTTGTATTTTGTGAGGATCAGATTTTCCAAGCCCTTTTTCCTCATTATGTACCCTAGACATTTTCAACGATCTGTGCCTGATGTTAAGTATAAGTATCTTTTTTGTTTCCATTTTCGGTCTGTGTTCTTCTCAGCATCCTTCTGTGGAACAACATATCTGTTACTTCAAGTCTATTCTTTATCTCTGCGATGATTCACCAGCATATACTGCCAGATAGGACGACTGATATTACGTAACAATTCTGCGCGCTTTTCTTTGTTTCTAACGATTTTTTTTCTATTTCTTAATACTTTGTTTAGCATTTTTAAGGTAACTTTTGCTATCACAAGTTCCTGTCCTTTGTAGCTCTTAATAAATTCCGTCATTTTTTTTTTTTTTTGTCTTTCCCAAACGTAACTCCGTCATCCATTTACTCAAGCTTGCTAGATAGGTTATACGTTGTTTTTTCCTCCATTCCGCTTGTCTTCAATCTGTCCTGTGAGTATCAAATTTTCCAAACCCTATTTCCTCATTATGTGCCCTATAAATTTTAACTGTCTCTTCCTGATGTAAAAATAGAAAATAAAAACAAAAATGGTACTTATACTTAATAAGTACCCTTTTTGTTACTATTTTCTCAAGAACTTCGTCGTTGTTTACATGTTCGGTCCGTTGTATTTTGTGAGGATCAGATTTTCCAAGCCTTCTTTCCTCTATTTCTCTGTCCTAGTGATGTCAAAATTAGGTAAGTACAGAAATTTAAATAGCTGAGAAGTTATGTATTTTTTAAAACAAAAGTGTTATCAAAAGCCGAAGGTACATTGGAACTGTGAAAGTGGTCTTTCAAAAGATAAACAAAATATGAAGAAAATTTCGTTTAAAGAAAGGGGGGGGTTAAACTGTAGGGCCACCCTCTATGTTTTGAAGTTTCACCTTAAAATTGAAGGCTTCGTGTCTTTTTTAAAACTAATTTACTCGCTCACTTTGAGCCAGGAAGGCTTCCTCTTCTTAATAATATATAATAAATGCAAATGTCGCTGTGTCATACATTTTCACCTTTATTCCTAGAGGCCGTAGCCCAACATATCGTGCCATTTTAGAATCAGGCCGACTCCGTGAGCAAATTAAAAAAATTCCGTGCCCGATCTGGACCCGTAATCCTGAAATTTTGGATTCCCAAGTTTTCATTACTGCGACTGTTTTCGGATTCTGCCATTTTGGCTGATAAAAATAATTAAAGGGACACAACTCTTTAACTTTCAATAGCTCATGTTCAAATGAAAAAATTACAGTCTTTCAAAATAAAATTGTCCGTGTTTTCAATATTACTCCCCGAGACCGTAGCCCAACATATCCTACCATTTTGAAATGAGGCCAACTCCATGAGGAAATTAAAATCATTTCGGGCCCGATCTGGACCCGTAATCCTGAAATTTTGGATTCCCAAGTTTTCATTACCGTTTTTCAATTTTCGGCGATTGTTTACGTAATTTTTTGCGACATTTTTTTTTTTTTTTTTTTTTTTTGCACGATAACTTGGAAATAAATTTGGGAATAAGCGAAAAACACCCATGAAATAAAAATAATTGTTAGTACGGAAAGTAAGGACCTACATACATCAAATTGTCTTTAAATTAAGTGTCAGCAGAATAATTATCGTCGAACTTTTAAACGGTAAGCTAAATATTAATGCAATACTTAAATGCAGCGCTCAATTTTGTGTTCTTCTGTACTTTATTGTTTTATCGCTGTGACACCATTTAGGGGCACGAAAAGAAAAAAGAAAATAAAAGAAAGGAAAAATAGAAAGGAAAGAAAGGAAAAGAGAGGCGAGACTTAAGCTTAGATGATAAAAGAAGCCACCCACGACCGGGGACATTGACAATGTCATTTTGATAAGTAGCAAATGGTGAAAGGTTTCATTACCATTGCAGAAAAATTCTAAATGGATAAGAAAATCGACTGTGTTCTGGTGGCGGACTTGTATTATCAGGGATAGATAACAGCCACTTAATGCTGGCGAACATCTAATTAACAAACCACAGGCCGGCTAGCTAAAACTCCGAGACAATTCGACAATGTTATTTTGATAATGGAAAAGATGGTGAAATTTCTGACCACCAGTGTCGTAGAACTGTCTGACAAAGAACAGGTGAATACAGAGCTTTGGATAGATAAGAAAAATTAACTGTGTCAGAGGGGGCAAACAATATTGTCGGGAAAGGATTTAATAGGTCGTCTGCTAACCGCACACGAAGCCAACCCTTGGTCACGTTTTGGCCGTTTTGACAAGACATCTATGGGTGTTAGAATTCGGTTGTGATAATAAAACTATGTTATCAGAAATTGGCACCAAGAATGCAAATACGGCTAGGACAATGGAACTGTTTTTTCGAGACGACGGTCGACTGTGTTTCGCTAGACGACTACCCCACTTGATAATTGGCATTGATAGATCCCAGGTGGCATTGGGGGATGAGAGCTGCGATTAAGGAAAGAAAAGGAAAAGAAAAAGATAATTTTTTTTGAGCAAGATATATTTTATTTTTCCTAAAACAAAGCCAGCCGGATCACACCCACCCGGTTGGACGCTATTGGCCGAATGACAACGAGGGCCAGGCGGAGGTGATCACGTGACGCAAAGGGGAGAGCCGCCGCCGCCCATTTAGCGGATAGGTATGAGAAGTTGCTACGAAGAAGTGGGGAGAACCGTTGGCGCCCTTTCTGAAGTATGGTGAGATATCCATATGAGAATAAGAGAAGGTGGGAGTAATAGAAGACTTCCGAAAATGGAAAAAAGTGGAAAATTCCTGACCAAAAATAAAAGAAGTGGATATGGATTTAGAATTATCGAGGAACCTCCAACCCCGACAAAGCCCACCCCGGTTTTGGTCGGCGTCCATATAAGCAAAGTCGCAGCGAGCAAAAATCAGTTCAGTTCAGAGGAGTTCAATCCAGAGTGCTCAGTTAAAGCAGGCCTCGCAGAGCTGTCTTGAAAGATTCGCGCAACTTCCGAACTTATCTTCAATCCAAGAACAATTTATTTTGAAGAGCGACTTAGATCCATACCACCAAAATAAGTTTTTTCGACTATCGCCTGAAGACACACCAAGAACCAATTTCCTAAAGAACAGACAACTTAAGATGTTAAAACTCACCTAACAAAAACAACGTGTCACAATCCATATAGCGGGTCGGGAGATAGACGCAGTCCTATGTATCCAGCAACCAGATATAAAGTATTGTTATCCTTTTTTTTTTTGATACCTTGAACATTTGAGTTATCATTTTATTTTATTTTATGCATATTTGTGTGATACCACCCTCGTGTGAACTCAGTTTGCATTACGGCCCCAACAACTGATTGATTTCGTCTGCTTAAGATCAATTCACAACATGGGTAGGCGGACTGGAGATCAACGCAGTTACTTTGGTAACCAGACATTGGAAGCGAGTTGGGAACGACGAGGCTGATATCGAATCTAACCAGATTCCCATCCGAATCACCAAAAGGTTAGAACGTCACATTTGGGTGCCGCGACCGATACCAAGCCAGTTGGTCGTCACAGGACGGGACAACACGACTGACGCAGACAGGCGGACGTCACGTTTGGAGCGGCGACA